TCTTGCTAAGTTCCTCAGGCCTTGAACTTGCAATCCTCCTGCCTCAGCCTCCCTATAACTAGGATTACAGGCATGCACCACCATGCCTGGCTAGGGTGGAAATCTTTAAGACCCCTTCAGACGCTAACGGTGTATGATTAGACAAATGAGTGGTCTGAGTGGATGGAGAGGAATCCAATTCCTAACAATGAGTCCCTGGGCTTACCCTCAGTGGTTTCCACACCGCTTGTAACTGGCCAGTCAGGTTTCTCAGTTATTTGTGAGAAACCTCAAGGTAGAGAACCAGGGACCACCCATAAACCTGCTCACTCTACCGTTGCCCTCCAGCCTCATCTGTGAGGGTCCACATCCTGTCATTTTTGCTCTCTGGCATGCTTGGGTGCCAGAAGCCTAGGATTACAGGCATGCATTACCATGCCTGGCTAGGGTGGAAATCTTTAAGTCCCTTTCAGACCCCAATGGTTAAATGGAGATGTTTTTGCTCAGGGGAGTCAGTGAAGAAGATAGAGCTGTGGGGAGATGGAGGGAAGAGAATTTGGCAGGAGATACAAGACTGTCTCTCAAGAAATCTCTGCTGTCTTGGGATATGGAGAAGAGAAGAGTCCCATACATTTGTCTTCCAGAGACACAGGAATGCATGGCTCTCTCTGCATTGATTCAGGCACCCAGACAAGTCACAACTGAAAGGTGCCACCCCTACCACAGCACCATGCCCAGCTCTTTGATGTCCCTTTTAGATCCAAAGCAGAGGACACAGAGGGCAGACTTGCCTGCTTCCTCACGGTGGTGAGTGGTAGGGGAGATGCAGAGTAGTCACTTGGCCTGGAAGCATGGAAAGGCCTTATTCTGTATGCAAGCACCCGTGCCAACTACCTGATCAGCAGGCCCCCCGACCTGAGTCCAGAAAACTCACTGTTGTATCCTTCTAACAAACACATTGACACCAGCTTGAGCACCACAGAGGTCAAATAACCCTTGGTAACAGGTGCAGATTGCCTTTACCGATGGAAACCTATTTGCTTCTTCTTACATAAGAAGTGATGTCAGTACTTGCCTTACCGTGGAGGGTAGTGACACGATCAGGCAACAATATGCTTAGGGGAAGTCTTGAAAGCAACAGACTCTGTGTCAATGTAGGGCTGCTTTTAACCCTACCCTCTCTGCTCAGTGTTTAGCTGTCATCCTAGACTTATTTGCCACATATGAGGCATTTCTGCTTCTTGTCACCTGGAATAGGCATCCTGCCTCTGTCTGTTTTATTGATTGCTGTCTCATTCCCTTCTTTGCTTAAAAAAAGAAATCTTTTCTCTTATGCTGATGCCTCTTAATTTCCCTTTCTTGACTGTTATTCCAGCAGCTCTGCTATTTAGCTCCATGGTGTCATAGCAGACAGTTGGTGGGAAGGGAACTGTGCTAAGTGGCATTGCGCTGCAATCCAGGCTGGCTGCTAAGGGGTGGGAAAGCCCTCTCCAAAGCTCCTGGCAGCCTCACTGCTTTGCAGGGTGTTCCTCTGGCGAGAGGAAGGAAGGCACCTTTAATCTCATACCCCTCCTACGTACACTCATGTACCCCTGTGGGACCCAGTGAACCATCATTGTTACCAGGGCCTGGCTGTGACCATTCCTCCTCCCAGAATGGAAGAAACAAAAAGAACATAGGTGTACCATTCACCCTGGAGCCCAGACAACCCTGACCACTGGCCCTTTTGTTAGAATGGCTGTGCAGTGTTTTCAGCGTTGTGCATATTCTTCTTAACACATTTGAACTTGGTAAAGAAAAGCCCTCCTGTCTTCTTGGAGGCCAGAAAGTATGTGGGCTGCCTGGCATGGGTGATGGTGCCAGGCTAGCCACTGGGAACTGGGATTCTGGGCCTGGCTCTGCCTCTTACTTGCTGTGTCCCTGTGAGCACTTCCCTCCTTCCCAAGCTTCTGGTCCAGGACAGAGTCAATAATATGACATTCCCTTACCAGGATGAAGTATGATGTGGCAGACAGAAAATGAGTCTTGGGTCAGACCATTCTAACCCCAGCCCATTGCCTGTGACTGTGTGGCCATGGCAAGCTGCTTCCTGTCCCTCCACAGGTCTCACTTGTCTCATTCTCAGAATTAGGATCAGATAATAAAAAATGTAGGCCTTCTACTTGCGTACACATCCCTTTAAAGATGAAAAAGTGGCCTTGTGAACAAAACATTATGACTCATGCCATGCAAGTCTTGAGGACGTGGGCCTGGGATTTTAAGGCCCCTGATATTCTAATAATTCATGACTGTAATTCTTTCACGGACATAAATCCCAAAGCTAGGTTTATAATCATCAGTCATTACAAAATCAATCATTTGGTTAAAACCTACTGTGTACACTCTACTCTCTCGAAACGTCTAAAATATATATGGGCTATATTTTTTAATCACCAAAGTAATGTTATGGCTTACAGTTAGAGGTCCGCCCAAAGCCTCATGCACTTATAGGTGTGGTTTTCGGAGTGACTGGATCTTGGATATGTGATACTAGGTTAGTCTACTGATTGGTTTAGCATATTTCTGGGCATGGATGATGGATTACTGAAGAGAGAAGCCCCACCCTGGGTATAGGTGGCATCAACCAATAGGTTTGTGTCCTGGATGGACTAAAATTTTTTTAAAAAGGAAAGAAGAAGGAAGTCCCTCTGATTCCCATCTGCCACACCATAAACGTTCCTCTGCCAGGCCATACTACCATGCTACCCTGCCTTGGAACCAGCTAACCATGAACTGAAACTTTTACAAATCATGAGCTAAAGTAAACTTTTCTCCTTTGACTTGTGGTTCAGATATTTTATCTCAGCCATGAGAAAGTAACTAGAACATGTAAGACAGCATATCTTGAGTGATGAATACTGGATGTTTATTAGTATAAAATTCAGAGTCCAAGAAGGAGATGACTGTCCCAGATACCATGGTAACATGGTATCCCAGATTCCCAGGCCCTGTCACTCAGGTCTTCACTTGACTTTAACAGATTTCCATTTTGGTCAAAAGAGGCCAAACAAAATTTGTAGTGGGAGGATTCCTAAAACTCTAGGTCTTCTACTGTCAAAGGACACATGTCATAGCAGGCCTCCCATAAAGAAGCTGTCCTTGCTAGCTCCATGATTTGGGGAGTGGAAGACTAGAATTCCTCATGGTTTCCCTATGGAAGTGAGGGTTGTGCCCACAGGCACCCAGAAAGCATAGGTAAGGCACAGCCTTGAACAAACCAAGCATCTGGCTGGGATCCAAGTCTCAGTACCTCCTTGGGCATATAAAAGGAAAACTAAGCCTCCTGGGGTTTCTAAAAGGAAACTCATACATTTTTTCCCCATTTCAGAAGTAAGAAGACTAAAGCACAAAGTAAAGAAAGATATTTACCAAGGTTTCAAATAAAGTAGCCTAGAGAGCTGTGAAGGGTACTGCTTGTGAGGTCCAGGTCTGGGATAGATGACAGCTGAAACTCCCCTCTCCCTGATCATGTCCTGGCACCCTTCCCACAAAAGTGGGCTTATGTGGTAGGAGGCAGGTACTGTGATTTGGAAGCAGGTTTCAGGAGAGGGAGAAGAGAAAGCAACCTCTCCATGGAAAGAGCCAGCTACTCTTACTGCTGGGTTTATTATTTTGGAATAAATCCCTTACTATAATAATGGAACTGAAGATACTGACGTGTAACATGGTGACAAGAAGAGATCCCACTGGTATTTCAATATATTTTTTTAGACCCCAGTGTCCTCTTCCTCATAGGCAGAGGGAATCCTGATCTGATGGAGAAGAATGTACTTCCCATTTCCTCTGCAACTCTTCTACCAGGACAGAGAGAGCTCTTCCACCACCATCTTTATTATCCCCAATTTGACTTTCTAAAAGGATCTTAATGCCCATGAGACTTACTTATTTTTCCTTGACTTTACCATATGTTTTGGGGGAAGAGGATGGTTTGAGAGCTGAAGAGACTTCAAGGGTCATCCTGACCGCTTCCCTCATTCTTCTGTGAAGTTGGGCTCAATGACTTGCCAAACATGGAGCTGGTTTATGTGGATCCCAGATCCATACTTGTGTCTGACTCTCCTAAATGGAGTTCTGTTTCCACCATAATGTGCTCACCCCCATGAGAAGAGTGCTGACCAGAGCCCACTCAGCCCTGGGTAGAGAGATTTCTAATAAATTCAAGGCATCTAGGCACTTGCTGGGATCTTCCCATTGTATTCCCAGGTGGGAACAAAAGTCGTCTTCCTTCATTCCCTTCCCTCAGCTTTATTCATCTACTCCACTCTAATCCACCCTCCAATGCTGTATTAGATTTCCCATCACTGAAACACAATAGCTGACACCCACAATTTAAAGGAAGAGAAGTTTGATTTAGCTCATGGTTTTAGAAGATTCAGTCCATGGTCAGCTGGCTGCAAGGCAGAAACATCATGACAGAAGGGGATAGCCGAGCAAAGATGTTTAGTTCATGGCAGCCAGGACAGCGGAATGGCACTGGAGATAAAAGAACCAAGGACTAGAAATAAGGTCAAACCTCTGTGACCCATTCAAAAAAACCCAGAAGTGTGTTCCATTAATCCTTCAAAGGGATCCCAAGGCCAGTCAAGTTGACAAAATGAAGAATAACCCCCAACAAACACCCCATCCAAGCACCACCTTCTCTGAGAGCTTCCTGATCCTTGGATTAACTGAACTGTCACTCCATTTGGTTCTTCAAAGTCATTGTGCTTTATTACCCACCACAGGTCCATTATAACCTACCATACATCCATGGTGTTGTAAGGAAGCCACTATTTTTCTACCTGCTTCTTCATTCAATGGAGTGCTCCTCTGGGTACCAAGACCCAGTTTCAGATGACAAGCATCTCCAGCATGTGGTACAATGCCTAGAGCACAACATGTATGCAGTGAAGTTGGTTGGATGGAATCAGAACTGTTCATGGTGCCAGAAGGTGGCCAGTCTGTTGGGTGAAGTCGGCCACACCTCTGGACACCAAGGAGGCTTATGATCTTCCTGAGACTTTTCATGTTCTCCTCTAGCTTGGGGGTAGAACACATCTCTGATGGGGACAAGACCAGCTGTGCTGTATACAGAAAGAAACAACAGGTGGAGTGGAGGAGGCTCCATGGAGGTGGTGATGGGAAGGAGGAGGGAGCACACTCCAGATCAGTTGTAGGAGTAATGGTGATGACAAGTCCAAGTGTACAGAAATGCTAAATCATAAGGAAATCACGAACCACCCTAGATGCAGAAGAACAAGAAGATGGAGAGAAAATGACTGTTTTGATTTTGTGTCTTTATTTACAGATTTGACTATTGTAATGGTTGGTGTGACCCAGGAAGCAACATGGTACAGCTCCAGGCTTAACACCCATGGCCACGGAGACATCTTCTTTGGGGTGCCCCCATGCCTCAAACCAGGGCAGATCCCTAAATGTGCAGGACCCTCAGACCCACACACATCCAGAATGCCTAGCAAAAGTTTTGAGATAACAGTTATTGGACAAGATTGTTGTTCAATTAATTACCAGTGCTGCATAACCATGTTGTCAGCACTGCTTCCTGCATGGAAGGCTCCACCAACACAGAAGGGATACAGTTCAAAGGCCCGAGTTTTACTCCTGGTGTACTACCAATGAGCAAGATCTGTGATGGACCATTTCATCTCATGAAGCCTCGGGCCACTTTTCTGGAATCCCACATGTGTATTCTAAAGCTGTGCTTCTATGGTTACATGCCCCATGAGCCTCTGGCCTAAGTGTAATCCTGTGCCCTAATCCGCTTTCCTGTTGCCCCACACCTAGAGGCTGACATTGCACCTTAATTGCCTTGTAGTGAGAACACTCAGCAAGGATCTAGTTGTCACAGAAATGCACAGTAGATAATTCACATCACCAATAGACGATGTACAATGGAAAATCCTTCAGTGAGGAAGACAGGGCCAGTGCTCAGCATAATGTGTTAGTCTTTGGATTCACAAGGAAATAGCGAAGCTGACCAGTATCCTCAACCATTTATTCCTTCTCCCTCTCTGCTCCTGTGTGTGTATAAAGGACTGTGGGAGGGTAACTCTGTGGTAGCACAGCCTGTTAAAACTCTTTCTATCTCTTTTGCTAAGTAACAGAGACAGATGATCAGCCCCTTCCCTGAGAAGTATCTTCTCCCTGGAAGAGGCCAAGTCAGCTCTATAACATTCTCATCTTCTTTTTTCATTTTTCTCTTCTTATATTAGCAGCTCAATCTATATGCTGATTGTTGTTGTCCATGCATTAAGTAGCAAGAAGCTGCAGCCCACAAATGTTAAGTGAGGAGGAAGCTTGACAGGAGATATGTTTACTGCTCTGCAGCTGGCCAAGGCTGAAGAGTAAATGAGGAGCCAGGCTTCGAGAGAAGAGCTGGAGTCTCAGAACTGGGAAGGATCCTCAAGAAGTCATCAGCCTGACACTGGGGAAGGCTTATGTCCAGGTAGATGTGACAATTGGGACTTTATTTCTAATTATCTGTACAGTAAAGGTCTTGCTTACTTGGTTACCTATTCTGGTGGTCATCATCCTGCTTGTCAGAGTTCTTGGGGCTAACAGAATGATCAGGGTGCAGTCTGCAGGAGAGAATTCTGATAGATCCAAAACCCAAACCTGCTCAGGGCTGTTCCTGAAACAAATGACCTCCAGTTTCCCCAACTTCATAATAAACAATGGGGGTGAAAGAAAATCTCTGTGCAAGTTGAGCCTGAATAATAGACCAGCTCATGGCAGATGTCTCTGCAATGAGCAACTGATGAGGATGGTATAGGGGAGGAGAGAGTGAACGAGACGGGAATAGAGAAGACGCATCTCAAGGTGAGCTTGGAAGGACCCCAACTCCCTACGCGAGGATCCTCATGGGAGTATGGGACACCTGGAGCTGTGCCCAGAGGAAACATTATCAAATCTGGCTCTGTGTCCATGAGGTTAAGAAAGTGACACCCCTACCTTTGCCACGTGTGTCTCGTGTCCTTTACTCTTGCATTCTGTGAAAAATTCAATTATCCTTCTTCCTTCTTACTGCTAAGTTTTTTTCTCCCTTGTGATTAAAAAAAAAGTTGAAAATAATTAGAATGTCTTATAAGTCAAGGTTTGGTGCAGCCTGAGATGGAGTGCTGAACAAACCCAACAAGGTCTAGCTCCAGCCCCATAACACAGTCCACTCAACTCATGGCCATGTAGAAGTAGTCAGACCAGAATGTCTTGATTATTCTACTTAGCTCTTCCAAATGCCCAGTTTTCTGACTTCTTATTTTTTGGCTCTACAGCTAAAACAAAAAGTAGTGTCATAGAGGTCTCCTCAAAAGCCAATTGGTATTTTCAAGGTGTATCAACTTTTAGTAACTTCCTCCAAGGTGGAAGTTTACTTCACAATGATACAGCAGCCCTTTTTATTAAGTATTTACCTTTTTTGGTACTTTGCGTCTGTGTGTTATCCAATTTATTGTTCCATTGCAACAACTACACACATGATCCCAGCCTGTTTCATCTTATAGAACAAGTTTCTTTGCTTCTCTTTGGAACAAAAAAGAGAGAATTAAAGAAAGTTAATACTGCCTGTTTAAAAAAATGGGCTGTGTGTCCTTTTCTGGGACAGAAGTGTGAGCATTATCCCACCTCAGGCCTCTCAGGGCTCTGCTAACAACTTCAGAATGCCTTGTGGTATAGATACTTCGTCCCCATTCAGTAGACTTGGGGAGGGTGAGGCACAGGCCAGAGCTGGTGAGTACCCACTTGGAGTTGAAATTCAGGTCCTTTGATTAGCAAGGTCCCACCCTACTCTTGACAGATGCCTCAATGTTTGACATGCCCAGGTTCCCACATGCTCCTCCCATTCATCCCAGCCTCTTGCATCTCAGAAAAGAGCTACAACCTCCTCATGTTACCTGCAGAAATTAAAGAGACAAAGATCTTTACTGCAGAGCCTCAGAAGCTCCTCAGCACAGGGAACACTGCTTCCTTCGCTGCCTCTGAATCACTGCCTTCTTCAGAAAGCCTCCCCCACTGGAAGCAGGTGAGGCAAGTGGGAGAGGCAAGACAGCCTCATCCTTGACTCAGAGATGACTCCCAGAAGCTTCTCCTCCACCAATTAATCACCTCTGATTATGGCTTCTGGCAGGGCCTCCAGTTATTCGCACCACCACCTTCCCTGTGGAACCTCCTTCCTGCCAACTGGCTGCCCAAGGTGCTGGCTGTGTGCTATACTTTCCAGAACCCCTAAAAGGTACTCAGACAGGCAAGTGACTCAAGAATAAGGACCCACCCTCTTCCCCCTCACCATCTGCTCCTAGCACCATGAGACTTCCAGGACAAAATGGAAAGGGATGTGAAATCCTCCCTCCAGAAGCCCAAGGAGACTATGAACCCCTCCATTAGCTGATTGGATAATACCTGCTGTGTTTCTCTTTAGCAATGACTAACAAAGCTCCTTCTCATTTCCACTAATTATTCAGCCTCCTAGAGAAGGCTGTCCAATACCCTTTGGAAGGCATCCTATAGCTCCACCCACCCTCTTGCCCTCTTCCCTCCAGCCTCACATTCACATCTGCCTCCCTTTGCCCCTGCCAACCAAGCCTGGACCCAGCTGTCTCTGTGGAATTCCTAAGCATGCTCACTTTGGCTGCTGGCCTGGGCACATGGGTACCTACAGGCACCCTGCTATCTGCCCGCCTCGGGGGCATCACTCTGGGCTCCCTGCCCTGAGCTGACAGCTGGGGGAAGGACACAAAGCCCTGCTGGTCATCTCAGTGCCAGGATAATGAGTATGTTTCTGTAGCATGGTGCAGTTTACAAAGAACTTTCCCAGATGTTGATCTGATCTTTGTGAAATCAGTAGTGATTACTACACAGCTGCCCTCTGAGAAAGCATGATAGTGTCATTAACCTTGTTCTTTAGAGATAAGGAAAGCCAGGCTTGCTGCGCCTGAGTGACTCCGCCATGCTCACATAGCAAGCAGCCCTACTGAGCTCAGATCTCTGGTGCCTCTGCTGGATCAGGACCATCCCGCACTCTACTGTTACCAGGCTGTGAGGTATTGGGCTCTCATTTTAGAGGTGATTTCTAGGTTCCTTCCATCCTGAACAAAGAATTGAGTGAAAGAAACATAAATAGTAGCAAAGTTTTACATTTATTAAAGTTATTTAAAAAACAGGCTCTGGAGAAAGAGTTTGAGCCAAGTAAAAGTAGGAAAAAAAGGACAAAAAAATTTAAAAATATACCTTACAGTGTAGGGTGGGCTACCATGCAGAGACACAATAGCAAATGTTTAATGGCCACTGTCCCTCTTTCATACTATTGATGCCTGTGGGATCACAGCAGGTCATTTTATCAAAATCTGCTCAAGTTCTTACAAGAAGTCCACTGTGAGAGCTGTTCTGCACACATGTCCTGGGATAAATAGACCAGACCTACTTTCCCATCCAGTTTTAGCTAATCCCTCCCTTCCTGCCTCCCTGTGACCGCAAACCCCTCTGTATAGAACACCAGCTTTAGAATTGGCAAACTTGTGAGTCCCACCATATTTAACTCTGAGGTTTTTGGTGATAGATGCTGTTCTGAGTACCTTTCAGGTAGTTTCCACTCATCTGACTGCCATCACTGTTCTTTGGGAACAGGAATTGTCCAGATCCTCTATTTGCCCCATGAGTGACAACCTGGGCCACCTAGCTCATGAGTTCTCTGGGGTCAAGTCAGGTGCTATGGTTTGGGGCCATCTTCTTAGGAGGATGTTGTATTTTAACTTCCCTGACTTGAAACTGCAAACTTAGGCAAGTCAATTAAGATGTTTTGTTGTTCCGATGTCTTGAATTTGAAATGGCAGTGTTGAGTGAGGATTAAACAAGGTAGTGCTGGGTAGTTTTATAGTGGCTATAAAACATGAAGCTTGGGACCTAGATGAATGCTAGTGAACACTAGGGCAAAGGTATACGAGGAAAAGGGTGGCAAGCATAGAATCCTGACAAGGGCTATGCTAAGAGGGACACCCCATTCCTTTTTCCCAAAGGTCTACAGCTGGACAAATGCCAGATTATGGGGACTCTGAGGCCTAGAAAGGCTCCAGGGTAGCAGGTCACTAGAGCCCAACTTGTGGTATACTCGTTCCTTTTCCTAAGCTTCTCTTAAGCCTGCCTATTTCTACCAGTCCCTGAGATTACTCTGATTTCAAAAGGTAAAAGTTTCTATAATTAAAGTTCTTATCTACTGGGGATCTTTGACACTCTGATAAAAACTACAAACCATTTTTTCCTGGAAAATTGACACATACCCCAATACACAAGCCTGTTCTTGGAAGTTTGGAACAATCATCAGATCACCAGTGAGCCTCTTCTTTGTACAATCAGGAAACATCCTTATAGTCATATTATTATTATGGTTTAGATCACCAAACCCTTTTCTTTTCTCTCTCTCTCTCTCTCTCTCTGCCTCTCTCTCATACACACACACACACACAATCCCCCCTTCCAGGGACACTGCCCCTGGCCAGTGCAGAGGCTGGTTGCGATGGCGATAGCGATGGCTGTGGCTGTTGCTAAGAGAGCCAGGAGGCCAGGGTGAGGGGAAGAGAGTGGGCAGCCCAGCGGGGCAGCACCCTATGCCTGTCTGAACACCTCAGGCCCTGGAAACAGTGTTCCCAGCTGGCTGCTATGGCAACAGCAGGCTTGAGAAACTATTCATCAAGATCTGGACAGGTTTCCCAGCCTGCACTTGGGCTTTCTTTTCCTTAAGTGGCTAATTGAGGTGTGAAAGGGTCTGCTGTGATCAGGCAGAGGGGACACAGAGGGCAAAAGGGTGGCATTGAGCAGGCCTCGTGGGAGACTGAAAGGTTAGAGGCAGGGTCTGAGCCAGCTCCCCAGCAGAGGGCCTGATTACCAGCAAGGCAACCCAAACACAGAGATCCCCACCCTCTACCAGGGCCTCTGCTCATGAGCTCCAAACCCTTGACCACAAGCTATCCTAAAAAAGAGATTGGCTCATCTCTTCCAAGGTAAGCCTGCACCCAGGTGACATCTGACCACCTCTAGCACAGTCATTCAGAAGATTCAGAAAAAATGTGGATTTTCCCTCGAGTGACCCATGGGGGTTGTACAGTGAGAGACTGAGAATGGATGCCCCTAGGTAAAATGTAAAAAAGGAAGAGGTGGATGAAGGCAGAGGCTGCTGAGGCAGGTTAACACCTTCCCAAGAACACCATTTCCCTGGGTGCTTGTAGATATGAGTTAACATCACCGTCATCCGGCGTTGTCTCCTTACATCTTACTGTGTGGTGATTTAACAGTATGCCTATCTTAATCTTCAAAGTAACGTTTTTGTTTTTTTTGTGTGTGTGCATTTTGTTTTGTTTTGTTTTTTGGTGCAGGGGATTAAAACCTAGGTCCTTGCACAAGCTAAGCACATGCTGTATTACTAACTTATCCCCCTAGTCCCCTAGTCTCCAAATCAAACTTCTAAGTAAAGTATTGTCCACTTTTTACAGATGAAGAAACTGTCAGAGTCTTGTAGAGACACTTGAAGTCACAGACAGTAAGACTGAGGTTGGAACTTGTATCTGTCTGCTCGCAACTCTGCATGGCCATACACCAGCTGACAGCAGAGGTCCCAAGTTGTGAGCTTTCATCTCTAATAAAATAGCAAGCCCCTGAACACGGGGCTCTGAGATTCCAGGCTCTGGTGGCTGGGTGCCTTCTCTGACCACATACATGGAATATGTGCTTGCAGAGCAGATCAACTGTGGTGACTGCTTTGCATGGTTGTGTGAAGACAACACGCTTATCCTCAGGCCACAAACAGGCAGCTTGGTGGTGACTCCAGGAAGTTCCTCAAGGCCCGAAGAGCCCTCAACTCCAGGAGATTGTCCAGTAAGCTCTGCTCTCAGAAGTTCAGAGAGCAAAGGGAGTGACTACCCAGCTAGTGATGGAAAGGAAGGAACTACCAGGCAGAGTCCTGGGAAAACTAGCATGTTTGTTTCACCTTCACAGCTACTCTGTAAGATATTATTACCCCATGGTAAGGAGTGAAAAAGTCAGCTCAGTAAGACCAAGTCACTTGAATCAAACTATGAAGGTCTTATGCCCAAACATAACTTTAAGGGCCTCAAAGTTTATTCCAGTCCTACTCCATCTTCTGACCTCCCATGGACAGGGCTGCTCTTCATGGCCTGTAAAGCCAGAAATCCCCAGTCCAGCCTAGTAGCCAGGGGTCTAAACAGTACACCTTCTTCCTTGGGGCTCTCTTGCCCACACGACAGATGGGCATCTTTCATCCTCCAGCTATTTTTATTTCTCTTTTTCCAATCTTCTTAGCCTCCTGGCTCAGTCAGGAGAGCAGCAGGCAAAGCCCACAAGCCAGAACAAGGCTCTCAGCCTGTGTCTTTTTCCAACTAGAGGCAAAAGAGAAGATAGTGGAATCCTCCACCACTGGAGTGCCATGGTGGGGGTCATCAGGAAAGCCTGAGTTGGGGTCTGGTCTCCATGCAGAGGGTGCACTTTATAAACTGCCTTCTCTGATCTCTGCTTAC